GTGCCGAGGAGGTCGCCTGGTCGGTCGGGGCCAGCTCGGGTCGCCAGGTGCTGCCCCCTTTCTTGGTTAGTGCCCATTTCTTGGCTTTCTTCCAGTCTCCTATCACTTAGGTGGATCTCGCTTATTTCCCTATAACATCCTCTTATTCTTTTCACGAATCCTTTTTAGTTCATTGGTTTTTTAACGACTTAGTCTTTTTTATGTTTTGTTGATAAATTTAAGGTTAAAATATTGTTTTGGTTCATGTATCGATTCATTTTGATTTTTTTTAAATGTTCATTTTCATCAAGTTTCCTTCATTTTAGCTCAATTGAGTAAGAAGAGAGGATTGATCAACTGGTCAGTTCAACCTCCTAATCCCCCTCACGTGTCGTAGGGAAAAGAATAAATCTTCCATGTTTTATTGCTGAATTTATAACTGAGCATTCAAACAAACTTTCAAAACTTGTTCTCAAGGACATATCCACGTAATCGGAGGGAAAATACTTTCTTTTTTATTTGGACATCTTTTGTCATCTAGCATTTAATATTTGATGCGTGGGAGTGAGATACGTTGGATTTAAAGGTGCGAAACAAAGTCAAATTTAAAGAAATTTATTGACATATACATTGTGAATATGTTTATTTCTTTAGTGGTTTTATTTCTTTATTTATTCAACTTGAAGTTATGTATTTAAATGAAAAATTGTTTCTTTATTTTGTTAAAGTTACAAATACATGTGTTAAAGTTACCTATGTAACATATGTAAAAATGTTACATATATGTTTAATTTTGAGTGAGATGTTACTTGTTTGTACAACTATATATAGTTGCGGATTTCTTCATTTTGAGATATCCAAGCATACCACAATTAGGTATTCTCCTCCTCCCACAAGAATTCTCTCTTCTTTTGAGTTGTTTTTCTTGTTTATGTTGAGAGCAAGTATTTAAGAGTTTTGCTAGATCCGAGTAGTTCGAGGTTGCAATTATACCGGAGTTAGTCGTTGTATCCTGCTGAGACGATTGCTGTAGTTTGCTAGCAACTTGTGCAGAGCGAATAATTGTCTTCCGGTCAGTGCTATTCAAGCGTACCTTGACTATTTTTATCAAATTTTGGTGTTCATCAAGTTGTTCAAATTTATATCGTTTGTAGCCAGTTACGTTGTAATCTGTTTGTCAGTACTACACAGTTCATATTTACAGCGTGTATTTACCCAACAAGATATATGGAGGGAGGGAGCGACAGAGAAGAGATTCTTTCTTTTCTTTGAAAAAATAAATTGTTTCAAAAATTTAGTCACGATAATAGAAACAATTATTGAATGAGACTATTACAATGTATATATTCTTAATAATCATCGAATAAAGATTCATGATTATGTATGTCTCCTAATAATTATCGGGTATATATTACTAACATGAAATTAGTTCAACGATAATTTATACTTATCAAAATCTCCCCAAATCTTTTTGAATTCTTATTTTAGATTGGTTGGACGACTATTCTCCCTTTTTTTCTCTCTCCGTACAACTTCTCACTCCCTTCTTTTTCTCTGATCTTCTTCATTTTCTTCTCAACTTTCGGTAACCTCATTTTCTATTTTCTATTTTCTTCATCTCCATTTTGTTTTTAAACTTGATGCAACTCAAGTTTATCGAATGAAAAATGAATCTCCACAAATATTTATCCACAATTTAAAGGTATACACACACACATATATATAATCTAATTTTTATTTTTCATAGTTTTAAATGATCATCGAGAAGTTGCGTAAATTGCATAACATTTTTCTTCTATTGTTTCGTCTGTGTCTTACTATCTTCTAATTTTTATTTTTCATAGTTTTAAATGATCTTCTATTGTTTCTTCCAACCAATCTAAAAAAAGAATTAAAAGAGATTTGGGGGATTTTGATGAGATCATGAGTTTTAATAAAATAATTAAAAAAAAACTACAACCAAAACCTGTCTTCTTTTTATAGGACAACATGAAGTTAAGGAGCAAAACATTCAAAATATTTCCATTCCCTACCTTACCCTGCTTGTTGTAATAAAAAACCTATTAGGTACATATTCAAAATATTTGTGTGATTTCTTTGTCATACATCCAACAATGTAAAAACTAGTCACATTATGATGATTTCCTCCCATTATTTGAATTGTAAGAAATTTTCTGCACAGGATATGAAAAATCGCTCCTATCAGGACCGTCACAAATTGATCAATTAGTTTTCTTTGACAATTTTTGGAGCCTCCTCATTCCGAAAAAATGCAAATTCTTTCTTTGGTGCCTTCTCCACAGAGGTCTCAATACAGCAAATAAGATACAAGTACGATTTCCATCAATGGTAAGCTTTCCAAATCGGTGTGTTTTATGTTATCAAAATGGCGAAACCTTAGATCACTTATTTCTTCATTGTCCATTCACAACTGCTCTTTGGCTGCACATCCTAAATATTTTCCGAAAATTTTCGGTACTATTTTCTAGAAAAAAAGTTGGTAGTTGGGAAAGTATTATTCCGAAAATTTCACCAAACTTTGACCAAAATTAGTTAAGGAGCCGCTAAAGCTTGTTTCCATACACCAACCTCTCTTATATAGTTTGCACTCGGCTTTATTTGCTTTGCATGCGAAAACTCACCTTTCTTTTAACTCCCAAAGAAACTGGTTACTCAAAGCAAAGATCACCAGCTACGTCCCTCATTCTTCTTTCTCTCACTCCTCGTTTTCCCTCTCTTCCAAAGTGAGAGAGGATAAAGAAATTAGTAAAAAACAGAGTAAGAAAAATGTCAGACGACATCGAGGCTCACACGAAGAACAAGACTGATCCTTCAGAAGCCGCCGCCTTCTTCACAAAGCCAAATCCCCCGTCACGTTGATGGTAATCCAAATCTATCTTTTTCAATATCAGGTTTCGTCTCAAACCCAATTGACAGAAGGAATAGTTGACTTATTTATATTATAAACTTTTGTGAGATGATTTATCTTTTTAATATAGTCGATATAAAAATGATGACAACAATTTTGAGGGACATGTTAAGTATCCACCTTTGACATAAAGCTTGATCAATATCTGTATCAATATATACAATTTCTTTCCATTTTTAGCGGGTATTTGAAGTTTTTCTTTAATCGGATGCAGTTTCATGACGTAGACTACAAGATCAAATCGAAAAAAACAGGGTTTTTCATTCCAAAGAAGCCCAATTCAGAAGAGAAAGCGATACTGAAAGGAATAAGCGGCGTGGTCCATCCAGGGGAGATGCTGGCCATGTTGGGTCCATCAGGGTCCGGCAAAACCACACTCCTCACAGCGTTGGGCTGCCGACTCGGCGGACAACTCAACGGAACCATAGCCTACAATGGGAAGCCCTTCTCCAATAAGATGAAGCGCAACATCGGTTTCGTTACTCAAGACGAAATTCTCCTCCCCCACCTGACTGTAACCGAAACCCTAGTCTTCACTGCGCTTCTAAGGCTGCCCAATACTCTAACCAAACAACAGAAAGTGGCTCAGGCGGAGGCAGTGATCTCCCAGCTGGGGCTGAGTAAGTGTAAAAACGGCGTCGTGGGAGGCCAAACCTTGAGAGGGGTTTCTGGAGGGGAGAGGAAAAGAGTGAGCATTGGGCAAGAGATGCTTATAAACCCTAGTTTGCTGTTCTTGGACGAGCCCACGTCGGGCCTTGACTCGACCACGGCACAGAGGATTGTCTCGACGCTGTGGGAGGTGGCGAACGGCGGGAGGACGGTGGTGATGACGATCCATCAGCCGTCGAGCCGGCTGTTCTATATGTTACATAAGATCTTGCTGCTATCGGAAGGAAGCAGCATTTACTTTGGAGAGGGATCGAAAGCTATGGATTATTTCTCGAGTATTGGATATTCTTCATCTGTGCCTATGAACCCTTCAGATTTTCTGCTGGATCTCGCCAATGGTATGTCATTTCTCATGTCTTTTGTATCATTTCCTTGCCCCTTTTTTCTTGATATATATGGTATTATTAGAATAACAACTTCCATTCTATTCAGAAAAAGATTAAGATTAAATTACAAATTTAGACCAATTTTGACAATTATATTTATTTAGTACTTGTATCTATTTGCTATTGAGTCTCTCTATTTTAAGAAGATTCCAAAGAACCACTATGTTTTCAATTTTTTTTTATTAGGTTCCTACCAACTTGACTATTTAAAGTTTACACCACTTAATCTAGCGGTGTTTAGCAGTCGATCGACATGGATTCGGTGTCGAAACTGACCTGATCGGTTTCTATTTTTTAAAATTGGCGTTTTTTCAAAACATATAAATATTTATCCAATGAATTTTAAGGAATCAAGTTTTTTGTTTCATGCTAATAACAATTTAGACCGGAATCTCTTATGATAAATTATGCAATTAATGACAGTTTAAAACAAGAACCTAGAAATTACTAGACCCTACACGAATACTCACCCGCGACTTTGATGGTTTCAATTATTGTTTCCTTTTAAGAATTACATTTCTTACCAGCAATAATCTAACTTGATTTTAACTTTCATTAAATCTTGTTTAAGAGAGTTGACTAGCTAAGAAAATATTTTTTTACCAAAAGGCTATATTTTACAGTCATTTTAACCCAAGAGAATTTAACTTCAGCTCATTTAAAATATTTCTTAAAGGTGACATAAGTTAAAAAGTAATAAAGAAAAAGGTGTCAATCTTTTACTTTTTCAAAGATTTATTAAAGCAAAGAGGATCATTTTAACCCCAAGCAGAAAAAAAGAATAAATAAATAAAGAGGAGGTAATTAAACTCACATTAAAACAGACTACAAAAATGAACACAAGAAACCACACATCAAAGTTGATTCTAGCTAGTATCAAAATAGGGAGGGGGAGGTGATTCATATTATTGAGTCTTTTGTTCTCCACCCTAAAAAACACACAAAAAAAAGGTATTTGTAATGGGTACCAAGAAAATTTGCGATATTTACAAATACAGAAACAATTTTTAGGTTTTGTAGATATGACAAAATTTTTAAAATCCGAATTTTGTTTTATGTTTACTCTCATTTTGCTTTCGTTACTTACTTCATTTGAGTATATCACTAATATAACTAATATATTTAATTTTAAGTATATCACTAATATACATGATAGTAGCTATATATATCATTGATATACCAAATATAAAATATCTTACCAATATAATTGATATACATAATTATATGAAATATATCAATCGCACTAAATAATATATGAATGATATATATACTTCATAGTAGGTATATTATCATCGATAAATTTTTTTTGAGTTAATATTTTAGTTTAAGTAATTGCACATTTCTTATTGATATATCAAGTATATATTAGTGAATATACTTCATTTAGGCCAATGCCATCATCATGATCAATCCCAACAAGCCATGAACATTACTATTAATTATATATTCATGGAATGACTAATTGACAATGAGATAAGTAGTTTATGTCTATTACAAATCTTTGTTAAGTAGTTTATCCATACATGTCAGATGACCTATCTTAAAAAATTTCAATAAAATAAACTAGTCTTTTAATATTCATAGGTTCCATCTCAAAATCAATTGGCAATGAGAGGAGTAACTCATGTTTATTATAAACCATTGTAAAGTCCCTTTTCTTTTTAATGTGAGATCCTTAACATGCTCCCTTAAGATCGTGGTTCTTTTGGCTCATCAATCTTGATCGAATCTCATTTTTGGACTGGATGCTCGTTTGAGCTTCCTTAACACAGTCAAACAACAAAGTTCCCTAACTCTTTGAGGGGCTAGGAACTCTCCCAACTTGGAATAATTCCTAAGTTCCACAATAACCAATTAACCAAACGCCAGTACAAAGGCTAATAGCATATTCTAATAGTATGCCATTATAAAACGGATAAAACTTGACTCCTCACTTGTAAGGAGCAACATTTTCCTTACCACCATTGAATATTTGGCAACTCCTTATAAAACGCATTACCACTACTTCACCCTCACATTCTTTGTCCCTCCTTTGCCTTTGTCCTTTGTGTATACATAAATTGGACCGCGGTTTGTGGCTCTCAACACGTAACTGATATATCGAATATATATCACTATTAGTACAACTGATATCAATCACACTAAATATATTGGGAGCAAAAATGTGACCTACCACGTGGCGAGATATGGCCGAGCTACTTAGCTAACCTACCACCAATCTATTAAGGTCGTCTACCGCCGAGCTCTTAAAGCTCATCCATGGCTGAGCTACTAAAGCTCATCTATCGCCGAGTTTCTAACCTCATCCATGGTCAAGCTACTAAGTTCATCTACCGTCGAGCTCCTAAGCTCATCCATGACCTAGCTACTAAACTCATCCATATGAAAGGATAAATAACCAACCTCAGTATGCTCGACCTATGGCACGACAGCTCATAATCATCCAACTGTCTTGTCATAATAGTCATAAAGGAGCTTCATTCCTCTTACTCAAGTAAGCAATTATACTCTGAGAACGAGTTATCGTAGCTCGTGCTTCTTCTAACTTGAGTGTCAAAGTGTTTGTTTCTTTTGCAGGTCCCTCTTACTTAAATTCATGCCTCACCACTTCATCCTCATTGCCACGTGGTCAACCTTTGATAGTTCGGGAGAATCCTACGTACATCAAAAAATATATGAGTGATATACTCCCTTTTAAGTATATTACATAAGTTATATGCTTAAAAGGAAGTATATCACTTATATTAAAAGGAAGTTATATCACTCATATCATGATATACTTAATATTAGATATATTAACATGAACTGATTTTTGCATTTTTTTGTTTGAACTGAGCTTTTTGTTTTTACCATATTTGGAAATCAGAAAAGTAGTTGTTACATTTGCATTAACCATTATCTTCAAGCAGCCTTCATTTTTTTTCTTCTATATATTTGCAGGTTTGTCAATGAATAATGATCCATATGAGGAACCAGCCATGATTAAGCAGAAACTTGTCTCATCCTATAAGACCAATATCGCTGTCAAGTTGGAGTCAGAGCAACAAGAATTAACCGATGAGCATTGGTTCGGAGTTGAATCAGATAAAGACAAAAACTTTGAGCGTTGGTCCACAACTTGGTGGCAAGAATTCTGTGTGCTGTTGAGGAGAGGAATTAAGGAAAGGAAGTACGAATCCTTCTCCGGACTCGAGGTTGGGCAGGTTCTAGTGATTGCATTCTTCTGTGGAATTTTATGGTGGCAATGTGATGATTTACAAGATCAGGTTATTCATCTTCTCCCTTAATTTTTCTCAGTTTTGCACGCCAATTTATAATACATCAGAGATCAGTCCTTCAAGATATCAAGATCCTTCAATTTTTTGAGTGATGCTACTCAACATATATTTATCATCACATAGTATAATGAGTTTTAAAATATAGAATTTTGCCATAAGTAGGAAATTTAATTACTTACTTTATAGTCTAGTTATACTTTATTTAATGAATTTAGTTGATAGAAAGAGATACTTGAAAGTTAATTTTTAAAAAGTGACTTTAAAATGACACCACCGATCATAATCAGTTTATGATAGTTTCACTTTTGATGGAGTGCAACCAAATAAAGTACTGATTCAAATCACTTTTAAAAGAAAATGTAACCAAACATATTTTAATTAACTAAATCAAAATAACTTTTTATTTTGTTAAATCCCTCGACCCAAAAACTTAAGTTGATGGGTTATCTGAATACTTCTTTTCGAGTAGATGACCTCTGACTCTGATAGCATGTTAAGTATGAATAAACTACTACTAAACCCAAAAATTTGAATTGGCTAAATTTAATTCATATATTGGATATCTAACACATTTACAAATATGCAGACGGGACTTCTCTACTTTTTAACAAGCTTTTGGGGTTTCGAACCTCTAGTGAAAGCTATCAGCACCTTCCCAAAAGAACGAAAGATACTTGAAAAGGAAAGATCCTCAGGAATGTACAGGCTCTCATCCTACTTCATGTCAAGAACAACCAACGACCTCCCAATGGAGCTCTTCCTTCCCACCATTTTCACCCTCATAGTCTACTGGATGGCAGGCCTCAAACCCTCTGTTGCAAACTTCTTCGCCGCTATTTTTTCTCTCTTCCTCAACGTTTTGGTGACACAAGGCCTCGGCCTCGCCATCGGCGCCGTCGTTTTGGACCAAACCTCAGCCATAACACTTGGCACAGTCCTGATGCTCTCTTTCCTTCTAGCATCTGGCTATTTTGTGCAGCATGTGCCTCGCTTTATTGCTTGGATTAAGTATCTCTCCATCGGCCAATTTACGTACAAGCTGCTGCTGATGTCTCAGTTCGAAGCTGATGATACTTATCCATGTCCGAGACTTGGAGGGGTTTGTAAAGTTGGAGACTTTCCTGCAATTAAGCAAATGGGTCTCCGTGGGAAAGCCACTACTGTTTTGGGTTTGGTGGTGATGCTTGTTGGATATCGCCTTGTTGCTTATATTGCTTTGATGAGGATTGGCGTCACCAAGAGACACTAGATTAGATCATCATATATGTTTCAATCAAAATCAAAATCATGCTATGGTAATACTTACAGTAAGGAATTGAAAGGTAGAAAAAGGGAAATGAGAAAGCTTGCCCGTTTGATTCTAACACCAAATTGACATATGTATGTATGTATCTATATATATATGTAAATTGAAGTATGTCATACATCACACCCATGGTGATATCAATTTTAAAGTGGACCACATCCTATATGTTTTTACCGAAAATGTTCGATAAAAAACAATAAGATCCCCAAGAACATTCGAAAAGAAAATCTTGCAAAAAAAATCAGTTAGCACTCCAAATGTTTTGTCAGTACAGGACGTGAGATAAGTTCAAGTATGATTTCAATCTCAAATATTGTGTACCTTTCTCTTTCAATTTAAGAGTATTTATAGAGTAAGTAGATAACCGTTGCTGTAAAAATTGAAAATCTCGGTTACTTTCAAGATTTCACGCATGAAGTATGTGTTAATGGAAAACTACAGTTGTGCGGTTATCCATTCGAACATTGGAGTTGAGTTCGGATGTAAACAACCGCGATTTTGGCAACTTCATCGCATGAGTCTTCCGAACTGGTTGAACAGTTGATGACGTGTTCTTTAGGCGAATTTTCGCCGTTATCATGCAAGAAAATTCACGCAACCCAAGCATGGAGGTAAGCATTCTCCTTATTGAAACCAAGAGCAAAATGACAAAATTTCCAAGATTAATATATTAAGTGGCTAGTATGAACGTAACTCAACAGATTAAAGTACCTACGTCCAATTAGAAGGTCATTAGTTCAAATTCTTACACCACATGATGTACTTAAAAAAATGAGTGTAATTACTTCGGTTGCTTTGTTTTGTAGTTCTATTGCTCTTTTAAACACAAAAAAATACGCGACAAAAGAATCCTTATAAGTTGTAATGTAATTTCTCCTAAAGCGACAACTATATATATTAATGGTTCTAATGACTTATAAAAATTCCAGTTATGAAGAATACGCTCTAGATAGTAAGGAATTTGCGATCTCTATGATATGGATCCATATCATATTGTCAGTGACAATAGCTTTATATCCACATCTCCATAACAGGTACTGTCCATCTTACATGTATATCTATCATTAGTAAGCTGATACCGGTGTTACTGTCAATGATTTTATGAGCTTATTACTAAACTATTGATTTGTATAATATCCTTAATATCATTCCTTAAGTTGAAGGAAGTGAGCAAGCGTATGCAAAGCTCATTTTTAAGATCTTTGAAAGATGATTTGGCTAGAGAGGTTGATTAGAATATCAATGGAACTTATTTGATTATGAGGTATCCAAGAGCTACTTTTTCTCAAACAAACAAAGTGGTTGTTAATTTCAATGTATTTGGTTAGCAAAATGGAATACTAGATTTATTAACGTCTGACTTTCTCGTAGGAAAAGTGTGCCAAGTAGTTTTACGGTTGTTGATGCCAATATCTCTCTATGGTTTTTTTTTTCAATTTTCTACTAATCAATGGAATTATAACAATAAAGTTTAAATAAAAACTTATAGAGAGTAATTACTCCAATTGAAAGTTCGAGGGTGTGATTCTAACAATTCTTATCATTATAATGATATATTGGTTAAGACATCATAACCGATTGCTTATACTTTGAACCCCTTGTTCCACTATGACCTGATCAAAGCTAGGGACTCGCCATCTACCTTCATGTTCAGCTTTTTGACAAAAAAAATCATTATTTAACTCTTTGACTACATAAAAGGAAAACTATTTTTATCCGAATTTCCATGATTTATCTTAGAAATGGAAAGGCGAAAACCTTTTATGTTGTTCTGTCAAGATATTGAGGCATCTCACAATCTTTCACTCTGTGACACTATTACTTAACCGATCAATATATACTTAAGTCGGCCAAATAATTAAGTTAAATCTCAAAAATCTCTTGACTCAGACCGAACCAAATTCTTTATTATTTTTTATAACTTATATTGATAATTAACTTGCTACTCCTATAATTAAGAGTACCTCCACAAAGATCTTTGTAATACAACGAGTGGCGAGCCATTGCTGTTCCCACCATCTACCCAAATTCAACTCTCCTACTCGGAACTAAGATTTGACAGGACATAAAATTGTGGGCCCATTTAGGTCAAAAGCCAGTGAGGTTGGGTTGGAAGGAAAAGGCCAAATGGCAAAGGGAGCCTGAAACAATTCAGCAACCAATGAACTGAACTGATTTAGACATTTTGTTTGTTTGATTTTTTCTGCGCTCATGGTTTCGTCTTCCTCTATCAAGGTGTGCCTGGAGACTTGGATAAGATCAAGTTCTCGTTTCTGGTCTTCGAGAGTAGACGTATGTCACTACTTGATGGGAGGTTCGGTGGTACTTTGTTCGAGTGAGTCTCGAAAGGTGTGGTCATGGTGTAATCCGTGGGTGTGCTCTATCAAGGTGTGCCTGGAGCCTTGAATAAGATCAAGCTCTCGTTTCTGGTCTCCGAGAGTAGGCGTATGTCACTACTTGAGAGGAGGCTCGGTGGTACTTTGTTCGAGAGGAAGATTGTTGGGTTTGTAAAGTGATTGTAAACAAAGTCCCACATTGGCTAGGGAAGGGAATGTTCATGGATATATAAGATAGAACAAATTATCTCCATTGATATGAGACCTTTTGGGTGGAATCAAAAGCAAAGCCTTGAGGGCCGAGCCCAAAGCGGATAATATCATATCATTGTGGAGATAGGTGGGATACTTGAGGTACCGTTGTCCTTCGATTTAGTTTTATAATTTTTTGAAAATGCAGTTCGGTTTTTTTTTCTCACAAAAATCGAGCTGAATCGAACCATGACCACCCATGTTGCTTGATCCGCAACTCCTCAGGCAATATCATAGCGATTAAGCCCTCAGAGCTTCCTACTGTGTTCCGTCTGGGTGCCTTGACATTGCGAAGGTACATACGTCTTCTTGCACCAACCTCCCTCTCCTACCCGATTATTGGGGGTCGTCACTTTGCTTTTTGAGGACTTGTCAAGTATATAATATGATCGCCATCCTTTATTCGTAAGGAACTAGCCATCTTTGATCGTTGTTGTTCGCCTCTATTAAGTACATAAGTGGTCCTAGTGCAAATGCACAAAGTAATACACGAAAGGATTCTAAGTTCATCCATATTGGGACTAGTTTACTTAAATTTATTTGCGAATCATTTGAGTGAAGCAATCGGTTTGATGTGACAAAAATATTGTTGGTGGCTTTTGTAATATAAGAGAAACTCTCATTTGTAAAAGATCAACCATTTTGCTTTTGCTAAGCTAGCCTTTAAAAATTCAAACTCGACCAGAACTAGTGCTCAACATTCTTATCAACTCGTCCTCCAAACTACTTTTAGTTGTTTAGAATATTAACCTAACCCATGCATACGAACAATTTGGAATCCTAAGTAAAATAATCAACCAACCTTTATTTAATGGGTGAAAGGTCCTATGTCTAGGGTCTTGTTTTAGTACTTTATTTCTAATGCTACTTCTCATTTTAACTAAATAAAATTCGTTTTATCCTAACCTTTTTGAGTATCAGACTAAAACTAGTTTTATTATCTAAGTGGTCGTATCCAAGAATCAATTTAAGAAAGTTAAGCAATGGAACGCTCGAGGCTCTACTTCCTCAATAGTTATGTAATGTTTTTCCAAATTGGTTAAGACATTCGCAGAAAGGCTAATAATGGTAATTCAACTCCTATTTAAAAGAAATAAACCAATAAAAGATGAAGAAGAAACAAAATTCTAAAAGCAGGAAAAAAGTTTCACAAGACGTAAGTACTCAAATAACAAGTTTGAATTATAGATCTCAAGGGAGAAATATAAGAATTCGGCAAAATCTAGCTTAACCATTTCTTTTTCGAGTTGAGAGGAGCAAGAACTCGCTATGGTTCAAAGTTCACACAAATCTCAATCTCTCAAAGAAGTTCACAACAACCACTCTCACATTCTCTCGATGGACTATAAAAGTTAAAGTAAAAGCAAATAATGGAAGCTTCCAAACCATGCTTATTTATAGGACTTCCATGAATGCATGGTTAAATAATTGGGATTTTTTAGGGATTTGACAACTAGACTTCACGGGTTTCACTTGACTCAACAACTGATCGCTCAAATGAATTGAATGGCTTGGTCAAGAGGATCTAGCTTGATCATCAAAACAATCAAAACAATCTCGTAGTTTGCATTTTATGATTTTCTTGCAATTGGTTTCACCCAAAAGACCTCATATCTCATATCAGTCGAGATAATTGTCATTTCATATACCATGGATTACCCATTTCCCTAACCAATGTGAGACTTTATTTGCACTCTTTACAAACCCAACACTGTTAACGTAACTTCAGCAAGGAAGTTGAAGCCACACACCACGTCATAGTCAAAACAAGAATATCTATTATTGTGCATTTTTGTTACAATATTTT